GCAGGGGCGATGAATGTGGGAATTGTCAGGGTGGGTGGTGCCCTTGGAGCACCCCTCTCCATGTGGGAACCTACGGTCATTAGCCACATCCCACCAGACAAGAAGCCCTTTGGCAAGCTGCTAACGTTTCACAAGTGCCTCCTTCATACCAGAAACCTTACGTGCACTATCTCACTTCACCTTCATGAGAACCCACTTAGGTCCCAGTCCCACTGTAGAGACGAGGTGACTAACATTTAGACAAGCTAAACAATTTGGCCAAAGTCACAGAGCTAGTAGGGGGCAGCATCAGGATTTAGAATGAAGTCTGACTCCAGAACTCATGCCCCCACTTTACAGAATATAGAATATGATTCTTTATGTTGCAAAAGCAAACAAAAAACCAGAGCACAGTTTTCTCGGGGGTTCAGAGCAGGTGTGGGGACCGGGGGAGGGCCCTGGAGCTGAAGGGATGGACAAGGAGACGAAACAAAGAGCTATGGAAAGCTTGAACTCTGAGATGAATTCCTGAGCTTTCTCTGCCTGGGTGCACACTCGGGCTGCCCCCTGAATTCAGGGAGTATGTGTTAGGGCATCTTTTATCCACAAAATTCCCAGACGGGTCAGAACGTCAAGACTAGAGGCCCATTTCCTCCTCTGTCATCACTATACCTCCCAGAGCCTTCTCTCTCCTCTGTGAGAAAGAAGGCTAGTAACAATCACCCTATTTTCCCAGAGAATTGGGCAAGGCGTTGACGAAAGAATACCTGAATATGCTCTGGGAAAACATAATGCAACTAGGAAATATGTTATTACTGGGCCTCCCAGGGATCTTTCCAGCCCAGGGCTGGCTCTGAGGGGGTCCAGGTATGTGGGTGGCTGGTCACTCTCTCTGATCTCAAACACTTAGTGAATACAACACCCTGACCTCTAATCCCCCAGTGGATCCAAGATCCACTGATGGAGGCAAGAATTTCAGGTCAACAAGTACCACCATTGTTGACTATCCAAAGAAACCCAGGAAATGTATGAACTGACTAATTCTCTCCCAGCCATATGTCATGAATCAGAACTGATGCTCTCCTATCAATTTAATCCCATAATCTTAGGATGTTGGGAGGAGACTTTTCTGGCAGGTACTAACCTCTGAGAAGCCAGCTTTCCAAAGCCAGAAAGACTTAAGATCCTCCCAGGCGTTTGTGTTTTCGCTACCTTTCCAACTTTATTAAAAACCCAACAGTTCAGGAATGGAATTCAGAGCTACCACTGGGCTGGCCTTTGTCTGGAGAATTGCACGGCTTGCTTCCACACAGGCAGTTTGAATTCCACTGCAGTTGAGTGTGGCTCCATTTTACCTCCCAAGTTTATTAATGAGCTTTCAGGGCTTGAGGTCTGCTGTTTGGGTTTTTTCCTCCCTTCTCAGTATAAAGTCAGCAGTCCTGATGAAAGAAACTCAAGAATGCCAGTGGTATGCAATGTCTTTATGAAAAGCATTGGGTGGGCTTCCATGAAGATGCAAACTGGTTGTGAAAATGTTTAAAAGCTTTTCAGAAAGTAAAGCAATGGTATCTGTAGAGATTTGGGCTTTTCCTGCACTCGGTTAATATTCAGTTTCTTGAGATACTTTCTTTCAGTGTCCTATTTTTTTGCCTTTTCATACTGTTCATGGGGTTCTCAAGGTAGAATATTGACATGGTTTGCCATTCTCTTCTCCAGCGGACCACGTTTTGTCAGAACTCTCCACCGTGACCCGTCCATCTTGGGTGGCCCTGATGCTGGGAAAGATCGAAGGTGTGAGGAGAAGGGGATGACAGAGGATGAGATGGTTGGATGGCATCACCGACATGAGTTTGAGTAAACTCCGGAAGTTGGTGATGGACAGGGAAGCCTGGCATGCTGCAGTCCATGGGGTCACAAAGAGTCGGACACAACTGAGCGACTGACCTGAACTGAGATACTTTCTAGTTTTTTGTTGCCTTGTTCTCTTAAAAGTGTGATAAGCCTAGACTCAGCTGTGTCCCTGAGAAGAAAAATGAAGGTAAAGCTTCAGTTTTTCAGAAAGTTGAGACCCTTGAACACCTCCGTTTGGAGAAAAACATTGCAGAGGATTTTCTGAGCTGACTTTCTATATTGATCTTAAAATTGTCCAGACTTGTTACAAAGAACCTGAATTTGGCTTCTGCATCATTATCTCTAGTCAAAAATCGTGTCATATCATCAGTAGTTTCATCATTTTCAAGAAAGTGAAACTTTACTCATCTATGTCTCTGACTGGAAATTCAGCTCCCAGATTTTATTTCCTAGTAGCTGCTACTACATTGAATTTTCACTTTTAATTTTCATCTTTTTTCCACTAAGCACTACTTGTAAAACATAGTAGGGAGCCAGTTCTTTCACTAACTTCCTATCTTGGTCTTTCTCCTAGCCCACTGGAAGTGGGTACATAGACACTGCAGTTGTAGGTGGAAGACTAGGCATCACGACAGAGATGATGATTGCAGGCCTACCTACTACCACTCACAGGCTGAGCACTCAGTGCTATGTTTCCTGGACTTCAGTCACCTTGTCTGTAAAGAGAGACCAATACTGACTGCCCCAGTCCCTTCACAGGGCTGTCAGGAAGATCAAACGTGAAGGTGGATTTACACACATCCTGGGAAGCCATTATTACTGTGATGTGATCCACTTTCCCCCATTTCAGGGGGGTGGGGGTGGGGGCTCGTAATGTTCCTGTTAATGAAATTAGGTCCTATTAATCAGAAATTAACTGGAGCCCTTAAGAAACTCAACTCAGTCACAGCTTCTTTTGCACTCTGATTGACCTCTGGGCTCTGACACATCAGATCAATTCCACCCCACTCTGTGCTGGCACCAGCTTGTCTCCACTGGTCTTAAGTACTTGAGAAATAGCCAGCTCTCACACATGAAGCCATTTCTGGTTTGGTGTCCTGGCTGTGTACTTCCTCCTCCCCGGGCCGAGTAACACTTAGAACCACTGACCCTGTCCCCTGCCCAGCCCATCTGAAAAAGGAAGAAATCATGAGCTCTGTACAATGGGATAGACACCCAAAACTAGAGTCATTTAAGTCAGATATTCATTTTGCAACTGAGTAAAATGGGGTCCAGAAAGGTAAAGTGACTTGCCCAAGGTCACCATAAAGCTGGTGAGTGGCCCGGCCCAGGTCAAGCTGTTGACCTGCTGTTCATTTTGCTCCATCACCAACAGAAATTCACCATCGTGAGGATCAACCAAGAAGGCAAATGGAGAAGAGAGCCAATGGCCAGGTAGATGAAGGGTCAACAGCCTGAGGAGCCTGTGCCCACGAGAGAGGAGGCTTTGATAGGATTAAGACAGGGAAGGAGTATGGGGATGGGGGAGGAGAATAATTGAGAGAAAAGACCAAGAGGGAGAGAGAGAATGGTGGGGTTAAGACAGTAAGGATCCAGAGGCTGCCACAGGTGCTGGGTGCTGTATTTTATCTACACTGTGCCCCGAGAGTGCTTCCTGCAGTGCTGTCTCTGAGACCATTTAGACAGTAACAACTGCAACCCAGCCGGGTCTTCGTTCAGATAATCCTTACAGCAACAGCTTACCTGTTCCAGTGTTATTCTACAACAAGGGGGAACTGCAAAACAAGGGGACAGTCATACCAATTTCTCTTTCATTTAAACTGAAAGAGAGGGAGGCCCCCGAACAGATGTGACTGTCAGCCACATTGAAATAGATGCATTCAGAGAGCACCCACATTTTCTAGTGCCCAGCTTATTTTTTTTTCTGGCTCTATTAAGGGGTGAGCAACTCCTTCACAGGAAAGGAAGCCTACTGTGATTTGGTAATTAAATTAGGGGAAAGAAAACGGTTAGGAGGAAAGGAAGTAATCTGAAAATGGGGTAGGGGGAGCAGAGAAGAACCATCCAGTGGAAAGCACCTTGGGAAGGGAAGAGATGCCCCGTACAGAAGTCCTTTTCCCCTCACTGCCTCAGAGGCTGGCCCCTCCTAGGTCGCTTTTCTTTCCGTTAACACCACTCTAGAATCTGAAAACCTTTGTCTAGAAAGGACCAATGGTTACCCGGTCCAACTAGCACCTTGTGCTCGCAAACAGGCGGAGCGGCCAGGAGCCTCTATATGGCCACACCTCCCCGCTGGGGATGCTGAGGCTCCAAGACACTAAAGGCAGTGCGAGTTTCAGGGTCCCGGGCCCCTGGATCACAGATCCCATCCCTCAAAGATCTCAACTGGCTTCGCACTCTCGCTTTCCCTCCTTCCCCCAACGTGAGTCTCTCCGGACGAAAAGCAGAGAAATCCGCGAACCGCCAGAGGAAGAGACCAGAACTGGAGTCACAGGTACGAGAGAAAAGCGTGTGAGAAGTTTGGAACAAGAAGTCTCCGGCACCTGTACCCGGCGCGCGCTCTCCGCCTTCTGCCCCAGGGCAGCGACAAGAGCGCGCGCCACCTCTTAAGACTTACCCAACTAACTTTCGCCGCTGGCTACCGGCGCGGTCCTACGGCCCCGCACTCCGGGGAGGGCAGGGCGACCCCCAGCGGCCGCGCCCGCGACCCCGGCTCGCCCATTCCTTCCCCATTCATTCCGTTCCGCCCCTGGGGTAGCGAGCCCCGGCCTCCGCGCGTCTCGGGAAAGCTGGGCTCGGGAGTAGCAAGTGTCCGCGCACCGAGCCAGGGATGGAGCCGGCTGGCGAGCCCAATCGGCTCGGCCACTCTGAGCACCCACCGATCTGAGCCCCTCGATCGCGCCCGGAGCTGTGCCGAGGAGCTGTGCTCCGACGCCAGCGGACGATCTCTCAGTTGCCAGGAACGTTTCGCGCCCCGAGTCAAAAGAGAAAGTTCTTTGCGAGAAAGTTTCTAAAGCTCGGAGGAGCAGCGGTGGCTGGGAGAGAGATTCAGCCAGAGTTCTTTCGAAGCTAGAAGCTGAGGGGCAGGTGCCGGGGGGGTGGGCACGGGGGTCGGGGACTGGTTATTAGAGGGGCTCAAAGATAATCAAAGCAAGCCACCGTCGCCGCGCTCACCTCCTGTATCCACTCGGGGCGGCCAGGGTCCGGAGGGCGGGCAGGCTCGGGGTGGGGTCTGGCTGGCTGGCTAGCTGCGGGGCCGGCTGGCGAGCACAGGGGGGCTCACGACCGGCGCGCGGGCTGGCGGGTCCGCTGGGGCGGCGGCGCAGGGTGAGCGCTGTGCAGTGCGCGCCTCTCTGCGTGCGACTGTGGCTGGCAGCGTGTTGCATCACCCGTTTTATAGCCCTCGGGCTGGCGGCGCGCCCGTATACTCTGGGTTAGCAATCCCAGGCTGACGTAATGCTATTAATAGCTTCCCCGGCGAACCAGCAGAACTAGGCTGGGCCTGAGGGCGGGAGGGGAGAGCGGGGGGGCGGGGGGAGGGGCCAGGGAGGAGGAGGGGAGAAGGGGGACCGGTGATGCAAGCTCTGGGAGGAGCCGGCCGCGACGAGTTCTCCCGGGACGCACGCACCCGCCCGCCCTCTCGCTCCATATCAGGACCGGAGCCGCCCGGGCTGGCCGCCAGATGTGCGCACTCCAGGCATGAGCCAATGGTGCCCGAGCCAGCGGCATGACTCCACCGCGCTGGCATCTCTCCCTCCGCTAGGCTGGGGGCGGGAGGGGGGGGGCGGTGAGGTCGGAGAGGTGGGTCCTGGACGCTGCCCAGACTAGGTGAGACTGGGAAGCTAGAAACGACCTTTCTCTGAAATGCGTGGTCATTTTCTGGAGCTTCGGGAAAGTACACCCCCTCCCCTTCCGCTTCCCCGTCAAAAGCCTCCCTTTCAAGTAGGGGACGGGGTACGAAGAGAAGTGTCATTTCCCCAGTGTGGGAGAAGAGCTCAGAGGCACCCTACGGTGAATCCACACCGTTACCCGCCGGGGGTGATCTCTGCGGCCGGGACCGTGAGAAGATCGACTTGTCAGCGACCGGCGGGCACGGTGCGCCCACGCCCGGGACTCGCAGACACCCCACATGGGCGCACACGCGGAACCGCCTCCCGGCGGCTTGGGAACCCGACGCTGAGGCCAGGGCGAGCGGCAGGCAATCTTTTTTTTAACAGCCAGAAAGCGTTTGAAATTGAGAGTGAAACGAACAAGCCCGTGAAGAGATGAGCGACCTGGAAAAATCAGAGTCAACTCAGAGAAGGGCTAAAAAGTAAGGTTGAAGCCTAGAGACTAGGAAGAAAAGTAAAGAGAAGGTGCTTTGGTCTACTCGGGCCGGGCCATGCGGACGTCGCCCGGCTTTCTGGCAATGTTGCGGGAAAATACACCTTCGGCTTTCGCGTGTTTTCCTGAGCCCAGAGAGGATCGCGCGGGGACCCAACCGCCCGGGCTGGAGACGCGTTAACCGCATCGCAAATTAGGCCCTGCAGCAGAAATCCTTTTCTCACTAAAGTCGGGAGGCGGGAAGGGCGGGATCTCGCGGCCCAGACTCGAGCCGAATCTTCATCAGAACTGGATCTGAATCTTAAAATCGAGTTTCCAGTTCTGATTCCCCGACCCCAGCTGTCTAGGACCAGAGACCTTCTCAACTGCCCATGGACGAATGTGGGTGGACGCGAATGTGGCCAGTTCTGTTTGGCACCTGCGGGAGAGGGAGATCTGCGCGCCCGTGGGGTTTAGGGGTACCTGATTACACCTGCCTTTAGGGAGAGAGAGAGACGGTCCAGGGTCCTAGTGTGGCAATTTGGGGTAGGAACTAGAAGGCTCTAGGAGCACAGACCGCTCCCACAGCCCCGCCCCACTCGGCTGTTAACAGCCGTGATGGAAGGGCCTCTCTGTGTCTATCTCCCTCCCTTACACAGAGTCCCGCACCCGAGGGGGCTCGGCCCATCTCCCCAGCCTCTCCGATTGCCCAGAAGCTTGGGATAGATACCCTCAGAGCTATAGGTAAAGCTGAGTCCCCAGCACCCTGATTCCTCTCCCCAGAACCAGAGCCTCATCGGGGCACACCCGCCCCCCAAGCTTCGGGGCCCAGGACCCCGCGGAGAGCGGCCTTGGAGGTCGCCCCCCAGCCCCAACCCCACTTCCGCCCCCGGCCCGTCGGGTAGCCTGGAGGTCCTACGCAGGGTCCTAGGGGATGCCGCTTAGGACCTCAGCGAATTTCCAGCGAAGTCGCGCGGGAAGCGTGGGGCCGTTGTTTTTGCTTTACTTTTCACCCTGGTAACGGACTTCCCGGCCCCACCTCCAAGCCCCCACACCCCGCCCTCCTGCCCACGCACCCGCAGGTAGACCCGGGGCGGCCAGGTAAACCCCGGGCGTGTCCTAATAGCCCGTAGAACACCGCGAGAGCAGGAGGAAGGGCGTTTGCAAATTTGCATGAAAGTCATTTGAGCGCCTCTACGTATCTTTTCTAGCTGCTCGTCCACTGCCCTCGAGTGACCGCCACCCTTATAAAGCGAAACAAGGAGATGGGGGAGAACCTGTGAAAGCTACCCGCTCCCGCCGCCCCCCCCCCCCCGACCAGTTTTTTTCCCCTTTGTGAAATGCCTACAGAAATCTTTAACTAGTTTACATTTTTAAACTAGGAATCCATTAATACACCCAAGCCAGATTTGTGGAGGTTTATGTCCTGTCGTTAAGAGGAAATTCAGCTTGGAGCGTAGGTAAACAAACAGCCAGACCAGCCTCCGCAACACAATACCACAGAAGGGTAATTAAGCAAGAGAAGTCCACAACCCCAGGTCGGTTTATTTTTATTACCATGGTAGCTCCCGCTTCTCTCGCTAAACCTGCTTCATTCTAATAATTCTTGGTTCTAATACCCAAGTCACACCTGGGTAGAAACGCTGTCAGCTGTTCGCAGAAGTCTGAGCGTCGCCCTCCCACGGAAACTCGAAAAGCAATAAGAATCTTGACAGAGAAGTCGGTCCACCCCCTTGTGAATGAAGCTCTTATCCAAGGAAAACAAAAACGACTGCTGCGCGCCTCCCTGCCCCCAGCCCCCAGGAGGACTTCGAAACCTGCCTGGGTGGAGAGAGACGCCGGGGAAAGAGCCGGGGAAGGGGACAGCCCCAGGGTGTGTGCCCCAGTGGGGTGATGATACCTGAGTTCTTTGCGTCCTCAGTTTACCCTGACTTTGAACCCACCCGTGTATCATCTAGGGGAGGGGCAGGAGAGGATTCTCAGACCACAGGGCTTCTCTGCACAAGGCAAAGAATGCCTGTCCCCTCCCTGAGAAGGAAGCCTGGGTAGAGTTATGTCAGGGGTTAATCCTAAATGAAAGAGGGTTAAGCAGAGACTTGAATACTGCTGAGGTTTTACGCTGGAGAAAACGCCTGGGGAATCCACATTCAGAACCAGCCCCAGTATGTTTTGCTGAGTGAGATAAGAATTGGAAACTTCTTGTTGGGGCAAGTGCAAAAGGAAGGGGAAAAAGTTAAAAGGGGAGGGGATGGAACTAGGCAGCTAAAAACAGCCCACTGTGGCAACCAAATCTAAACATCAAAACATTTGCAGGGAGCCAAAAGAGAGGAGGGAAAAAAAGCTCAAGAGATATTTAAAGGTTTTAGCAGTTTCTTTAGTCCAGGGAATAGTCCCTTCCCACTCCTTCCCCCACCCTCCATTATTCTTCTTCAAACCTCCAGATTTTATCTGCTCACAGCTCTAGAGAGCCAAGCGAAAGGCGAGGGAAAGAGCACTCGGAGCCCTCTCCTCCTGGCCCAGCCCACTTCTGCACCTCAGGAAGGGAGTTCTGTTCTTCTCTCTTCTGCTTTCCAAAACCCACACTTTCTATAAAGTGGATTTGCCTGGGGAATTACTAACATAAGAGTCTTCTCCCTCAGGAAACACGAGGAGGCATCATATCGTGGGCTCTGAAATGTGGCAGGTGGCGCTTTGATTCGGGATTCATCATCTTGTGGCACGTCTTCAGTCGTGTCGTCTTGGATAAGTCATTTCACTCTCTGCCTAAGTTTCGTCAGCTGAAAAACGGCCCTCATAATGGCATCTAACACATAAGGATCCCCTGAGGACGGGACGCACAGCCAGTCTTCGGTAGTGGTATCATTAATTACCAATCAAGGGAGGCATTCTGGGGAAACCCCTGAGTCTCGCCCAGAGCCCATTCTGTCTCCCTGTCTGTGCGCTCAGTCGCTTCAGTCGTGTCCAAGTCTTTGCGGCCCCGTGGGCTGTTGCCCGCCAGGCCCCTCTGTCCATGGGACTCTGCAGGCAAGAGTACTGGAGTGGGTTGCCGTGCCCTCCTCCAGGGGATCTTCCCGACCCAGGGATTGAACCCAGGTCTCAACATTGCAGGCAGATTCTTCTACCATCTGAGCTACTAGGGAAGCTCAAGAATTCTGGAGACAGTAGCCTATGCTCTGCCTTCTCCAGGGGATCTTCCCGACCCAGAAATTGAACCGGGGTCTCCTGCCTTGCAGGCAGATTCTTTACCAGTTGAGCTACCAGGGAAGCCCTTCTGTCTGCCTAGTCAGTGGCAGAATTGTGGATGAAGCTGAGCTACATCCAGGAAATGACCATCTTCAGGGGAGCGGGGCTAGGACGCCTCAAAGAAAACAATAAGAGCAATCCCCGCTTTCCATCCACACATTTTCCTTCCTTTCTCCTCCTCTTCCTCCTCCTTCTCTCCCTTAACATTTCCAAGGAGTATTTCCAAGGAGTTTTACCCACGACTTGGTGCCTTGCTAGCTAGGAGGGGCTGTGAGAGGAGTATCCAAGGCAGAGATTGCATCTTTGGGGAACTTCTGGTATGTAGTCCATCTTCTGTGCCATAGACACCCACTTTGGACCACAGGACCAAAGCCTAGGTAGCAGCTTTTTGCACCAAAGAGTGGGGATCCTGGAGCCCCGGGACACCTGAGTCCCCGAACTCTGAGGATTATCAGGACGTGGGAGACCCGGGACCCAGTAGAAGTTTCCCCTCCAGCCAATGGCGTGACTTAGTGCAAGCCATAAACACTTCTTCCATGTTCCAGTTTATAAAATTTAGTTCATACTTATTATCAGCTGAAGGAGGAAATGGCAACCCGCTCCAGTATTCTTGCCTGGAGAATCACATGGACAGAGGAGCCTGGTGAGGTTACAGTCTATGGGGTAGTACAGAGCCGGACATGACTGAAGCGACTTAACACACACTCATTGACTCTTTAATATTGACTGCCTCCAAATTGTTGTAAGAAGCAGTGAGATAGGGCTTCTCTGGTGACACAGTGGTAAAGAATCCGCTTGCCAGTGCAGGAGACACCTGGGCCGGGAAGATCCCACATACCGTGGGACAGCTGAACCCATGTGCTGCAACCGCTGAAGCCCGGATGCTCTAGAGCCTGTGCTTCGCAATCACAGAAGGCACCGCAGTGAGAAGCTCTTGCACCTCAACTAGAGAATAGCCCCTCTTGCCACAACTAGAGGAAAGCCCACACAGCAATGAAGACCCAGCACAGCCAAAAATGAATAAATAAATATTTTACAAAAGAAGCAGAGAGATAGTAGCTGTGAAAAGTCATTTGAAAATAATTTTAAAAATCATACTTTTAAAAATTCCTTTGGGGAATTTAGTATAATATTTTTTTAATCATTATGAAAATTTGGGAAATGAGCAACAGAAAAAGATTACCCATCATCTCTGCATTATTAGCAGTTTGGTGTGTTTCCCTCTGGTCTTCTTTCTCATGCATATGATTTTTAAAAACATAATTGTGATTGGGATTGCAAGCAATGTTGAAATTTGCTCTTTTGCTTATTAAGCTGAATTGAATATGGTCTTTATTACCATAATTATTTCTTTTCAAAAGTGTTCATTTTATTGTGAAATGTAGCACACATACAGATGATTATAGAACATATATACTCATTTTAATAGTAAAACTTCAAGGACCTATCATTTGAGTAAAGAAGTAGCCCACTAGATCAAGTCCTTAGAAACCCCCATGCCACCATTCCTGATTATGCCTGCCTCTCTCTACTTCCCAGAGGTCACTGCTATCTTGTTACCATAATTTTTAATGGCCGGTGGTGGTGATATGATTTATTTAGTCATTCCCCTACCTTTAGCAGAGTGCTGCTAGAGTGCTGTATACATTTAGCAATAGATTTAAATCTTTATTACGGGGAGAGGCATCAGATTCCATCATTGTCCAGGTTGCTTGCACAGAGTTAGAGAAGGGTCTTCATTTCTATCTTCAAGTGCTACATGGGGCGTAGTGGAGGATGGAAGGATCCCGAATGATCGTGATTACCAGTGCATTTTTTCTTGGTTCTTAAGCATCCAAACAAAAAACTCCTGTAGGCACTTTTCCCATGACACATCTCCTTAATCCTTCCACTCACTACATTGGCCTTCCCAGGTGGTACTTGTGGTAAAGAACCCAGCTGCCAATGCAGGAGACGTAAGAGACG